GCCTTTGTTGCTTAGTTTTCCAGCTCGCATACTCGTACATTCCATGTATTGATGCCAGTTGGCCTGCATCTTATAATGATGCAGATGTAGGTACCCAGGATCAGCATCCAGCACGCTGTTGATCTAGCTGAGCACTCCAGAGTCAGTGGTGAGCCTCCTTGCTTCACGGAGGACTCAGATATTTTGTGTTCCTAGCTTTGTTTTATTAGGATGTTGTGGGGTCTGTCCCAACATCCATATTAGTATTGTAGAGGCTTCATATATAGTCAGTCAGTTAGTATTGAGTCTCTCATCTATGTATATATGTAAATATTCTATTTTGAGACTCGAGTTGCCTTTTTTGCTAGATTTTATCAGTTGGTTATTTTATAACCTTTCGTTGCTTTGAATTGTGTTGTTGAGTTAAGTTTCCGCTGAGTTAAGAAAGCTAGGACAAGGGTTCGCTCGGGGCCAGCAATGGTCTTCGAGTGCCGGTCCCGCCCAGGGTATAGGCTCGGGGCGTGACAATAGAATTCTTAGATGACATCTAATTAGTGCTGCATCTTTGTCCTCTCTTGTGAGTTCCTTCCACTTGTTTGGAAGTGAAATAAAATTTCGAGCAATTATCCCCAACTCATTGGATAATTTTGCCGATTGATCTGGTATAGTTGGCCTTCCTTTACCAACTGGGATATCTATTTTCATCTTGCTTCTCATAGCCTTCTTCATTTTTTCAAGACCTTTACCTCTAGTCTTGCCATGACCATTCTTGATTCTAGTGGAAGCATCTGATGAAAAAAATTAAAGTTAGTTCAAAGTACCACCTAAAATCTAAAAAATATTACACGTATGGAGGAAAGGTATGAAGACTGGAAAAACTAAATTTTTTGCTTTTTTGTTGTATATAAACAGACAGTTAAGTCAAAAAAAATCATTGACAAAAACAAAGAGAATATACAAGAGCTAATAGCATTTTTTTTATCATTCATATCATGTCTGTTGATTATAAGCTTCACATATTACATAAATATCATTGAGTTCTAAAGGTGTAGATCACAATACCTATCCATTTAGTAAAATGTTCAACTTG